GGCCACGCTCAATGGCTATTAATTACATGGATTAATCACAAGGTATTCTGCTGCAGCCCCCGTGCTGGTGGTATGATGTCGGGGTCGACCGAGAACCCTTGTCCCCTGCGGTCGAAGGCGTTGTTCTTCTTTGTTGGAGTTTAGTCACGGCTGTTGCGACGGCGCTGGTCCAGGCATTGTGTTGTCCAATATGCCTGTCGGGGTTGCTAACAGATGGTACAGGAGTCAGCGGCTGCAGCTAGAGGATGACGTTGCTAAGAGGTGCAGTGAGGTAATGGAGGACCTGTGATTTGTTCACCTGTCACTTTCCCTTTGTTGAGATGAATGGCGCTCAACCGTGGAGTCAGACACTGGCCGTCTGTCTGGGGTGTAGTTTAATTTCGATTTTTGACTCATTCTTCTTTCACACAATCAGTTGGCTACAAAGCTATAAATAGGCATAATTATTTAAAGAAATTAAACAACAATGGTGTTATTAATAATGTAGCGGTAATATTAATTACAATGACATAACAAGACAAGCGACAATCAAGCACACACACACACGGTCCACTGCACTGTGCCAGCCATGCTATAGTGCACTCACCGTCCAAGGTGATAAGCTCAGAAAGCGTCATAACATCCTATTTGAATCAGAGTATTCTGTGTTCAAATTCAATCAGTAGGATTGATATGAACTCACCGTAAACAGTATTCTATTATTTTCAGTCCAATACAATTGTTCGTAAGTCTATTTCTAGACTAGGTAGACCCCTCACATGCCTCTAGTGTAATTTGACAAGGACACAAATTGGAGTGTGATTGAATTCTAGCATCTATAGCTTTTGGTTTAGCGTATCGTCATGGTGGTGTATCGTCATTGGCAGCTATAAGAGCTGAATTGCAGTGTACAGTCCATACCTAAACAAATAATTAAATAAACAAATAATGTTTCTACTGTAAGTGTGGATACCATGCTGCAAATATGTGTTCTGACATCACACAATTTCCAATAAGTGGACGAGACATCACCATAATATTCTATGCACAAAATACATGTTTTGAATAGGTTATTAATGTTTGCTAACTTTTATTCATTTAATGTAAACACTAGTCTAAATGTCCTGAGATTAAATGACAAAACATAACAATAATCCTTATGGCTATTATAGAAATTATTAAAGATAATTAGGCCTTCTTCTTCCTAATCTTTGCCTTGCAAAGTCTCGGTGACGTCGACCACCAACATAAGGAAAGTAAAAGAAAATGCCCATATGGAAAAGGTAACGCTGAACAACACCAATAGATAACGTATTAATTTTGGCTTTAAACTGTTAAAGGGGGCTGAACTTTCTGCTATGGCCTCCTTTTTTGGCTTGCTCATTAAGAAATGCTAGCGGCCATGACTGAAGCCAAACGAGAGTGTGGTTTGATGTGGGTGTTTCTTTGGTACGTCTTTGCCATTCAATCACAACAAACAAGTACAGCAGTGAGTAGTGACAGCGAGGTAAACTAAGCTAGCTTTGGAGAGAAGTTTTGAAGTAGAGGACTTCCCCCCTGACTGACTTGCCATCTCAAGATGGTCAGAGACTGTTTCTCTGCATGACAATTCTGCCTAGGCGTTGCCACCACATGCTAAGGGGAAAAAAAGGGGCATGTATGTTGACATAATTGTAATCGAAAACCAACCTTTGTGTAAATTGTGAGTTCTCACAAAACTCTGTTTTAGACTAGACTGACTTTATGACCAAAATTATCCTATTTACACTTTGTAGCACATTTTGAGACTATAATAAATGTTTATGACTCATATCGATGCCACCACATAGGCAGTTTTCAAAAGGAGAAGTTGCTTTTTGGATTCAGTTTGATTCAGCCGCTTGAGCTACATTGTAATGAGAATCATTTTGGTGACATTTGCAAACCAATGAACGACTGAAAGGGCTACGTGACGTAGCCTATGAGTCCCTGTAGAAAAGGCCCAGAGAGGCCAACTTAAGACATTTAAACGTGTTAACCCTGGCAAGGCTGCCGGGCCAGACCGCATTCCTAGCTGCATCCTCAGAGCATGCACAGACCAGCTGGCTGGTGTGTTTACGGACATATTCAATCTCTCCCTATCCCAGTCTGCTGTCCCCACATGCTTCAAGATGGCCACCATTTTTTCCTGTACCCAAGAATGCAATGGTAACTGAACTGAATGACTATCGCCCCATAGCACTCACTTCTGTCATCATGAAGTGCTTTGAGAGACTAGTCATGGATCATATCACCTCCACCTTACCTGTCACCCTAGACCCACTTCATGATGGGTCACCCTAGACCCACTTTTGTGTATGGGTGGTCCTCTGTAGCTCAGCTGGTAGAGCACGGCGCTTGTAACGCCAAGGTAGTGGGTTCGATCCCCGGGACCACCCATACACAAATAATGTATGCACGCATGACTGTAAGTCGCTTTGGATAAAAGCGTCTGCTAAATGGCATATTATTTATTTATTATTATTACTTCAATTTGCTTACCGCCACAATAGGTCCACAGACGATGCAATCACACTGCACAGTGCCCTATCCCATCTGGACAAGAGGAATACCTATGTAAGAATGCTGTTTATTGACTATAGCTCAGCATTCAACACCATAGTACCCTCCAAGCTCATCATTAAGCTTGAGGCCCTGGGTCTCAACCCCGCCCTGTGCAATTGTGTCCTGGACTCCCTGACGGGCCGCCCCCAGGTGGTGAAGGAAGGAAACAACATCTCAACTTCACTGATCCTCAACACTGGGGCCCCACAAGGGTGTGTGCTCAGCCCACTCCTGTACTCCCTGTTCACCCTTGACTGCGTAACCATGCACGCCTCCAACTCAATCATCAAGTTTGCAGACTACACAACAGTAGTAGGCTTGAGTACCAACAACGATGAGACAGCCTACAGGGAGGAGGTGAGGGCTCTCGGAGTGTGGTGTCAGGAAAATAACCTCTCACTCAATGTAAACAAAACAAAGGAGATGATCGTGGACTTCAAGAAACAGCAGAGGGAGTACCCCCCCTATCCACATCAACGGAACCGCACTGGAGAAGGTGGAAAGTTTGAAGTTCCTCTGCGTACATATCACTGACAAACTGAAATGGTCCCCCCACACAGACAGTGTGGTGAAGAACGCGCAACAGCGTCTCTTCAACCTCAGGAGGCTGAAGAAATGTTGCCTGTCACCTACAACACTCAAAAACTTTTACAGATGCACAACTGAGAGCATCATGTCAGGCTGTATCACCGCCTGGTACGGCAACTGCACCGCCCACAACCGCAGGGCTCTCCAGAGGGTGGTGCGGTCTGCACAACGCATCACCGGGGGAAAACGACCTGCCCTCCGGGACACCTACAGCACCCAATGTCACAGGAAGGCCAAAAACATAATCAAGGAACCCGAGCCACTGCCTGTTCACCCCGCTATCATCCAGAAGGCAAGGTCAGTACAGGTGAATCAAAGCTGGGATCGAGAGACTGAAGAACAGCTTCTATCTCAAGGCCATCAGACTGTTAAACAGCCATCACTAGCACAGAGGCGCTGCTGCCTACATACAGACTTGAAAATCTTGGCCACTTTAATAAATGGAACTTTAATAATGTTTCCATATCTTGCATTACTCTTCTCAAATGTATATACTGTATTCTATACTATCATAATATTGTTTACATATCTTGCATTACCCATCTCATATGTACAGTATATACTGTATTCTATAGTATATATTGCATCTTAGCCTATGTCGCTCTGACAATGACATTGCTCATCCATATATTTTACATTTAACATTTTAGTCATTTAGCAGATGCTCTTATCCAGAGCCACTTACAGGAGCAATTAGGGTTAAGTGCCTTGCTCAAGGGCACATCGACAGATTTTCCACCTAGTCTGCTCGGGGATTAGAACCAGCGACCTTTCTGTTACTGGCACAAAGCTCTTAACCACTAAGCTACCTGCCGCCCATTTATATATTCTTTACTTAGATTTGTGTGTATTAGATATTTGTTGTGGAACTGTTAGATATTACTTGCTAGATAATACTGCACTGTCGGAACTAGAAGCACAAGCATTTCGCTACACTCGCAAGGCCATCTGCTAACCATGTGACCAATACATTTGATTTGATTTGATTTGAGTGTAGCTATAGGTACGGAGGTGGGAAGCGAAGCGAGGCTGAGGCCGCTTCGGGGAGTCTTGACAAGGGATTTGTACACATCGAACCAGTAGTCAACTCCTCCCTCTAAATTGTACACACACATAGGGCTCAGTGCTCGCTTTGCCGAAGAGCTGGATACCCGTAAGAAAACAACGTCTGTTTTGCAATAACCCTTGGACACGAACATTTGTGTGTTTTTATGCATTCGTTCGTCGTGTTTGTTATTCTTTTATTTTTGATTGATATTCGTTTTGCATCCACGAGCAGCATTGAAATTCGCTGTTATGATTCGAGTCTCGGAGCAACTCAAGAGTGGAGGCCAGGAGACCCACCACAAGTCATCTACAATTCTGCCGTGTTTTTAGTTTTTTCCCACCTTTCTCTATTGTCTCTTGGAATACGTATTTACTCCTCAATTTTTGTCCTAATGCAAGTTGAACGTTTTCAATAGTTCTCGACCACTTTTATCTGATGACAGAGTGAAGTTGGTGCATTTTTCTGCATCCTGAAATCTGCAAATTGAGAGAGATTATTTGATTCAGAATTTACATTGTGGTTTGCTGGTATGTTTATATAATTCTTCTGATCTATTTGGTTGTAAATAGTAGGCTATTTTGTATTTGATAACGTGTTCAAAGATGGTGTAAACTACAGCCTATACGCCATATAGAAAACGTAATATTTACTATAATCATGTCTGAAATTAAAGACCAAAATCACAGTGTTGGAAAGGAAAATATGTTTCCCCCAAATCTTTGTCCTTTATCGTAGCCTACAATCTTTCTTGGCTTGGATTTTTTGACTTCCGAAACCAATAGATGGGAGACATTCACTTTAAATGCATGGGCTAGATTTGCGTCTTATGGAAGTTTTGGCTTGCAGATTTGAGGGAGACGCTTGCAAGTGTAGCCCTCCAGCCTCCACTATGCTCTTCCATGGGCTGCCCGGAGGCGAGATGCAGGGGGTCATCGACGAGATCGGCCGGAGGGCGAAGGGCGATTCTACCGCCATCAGTTCGGCCATAGACATGGGGGAAACGGAGACGGTGGGTGAATTCTTTACTAAAGAAGGACCTGTGCTGTTCAGGCATGTGAAAGCACAAATAAAGCGTTCATTTCGAGGGAATACGGTCAGAAAGTAAACGGCGATTAAAATATATTCATTCATAAGCTAGAAAGCAGCACATTGCTTGCATGTTAGCGTTCACATTTGCTAACCCTGTGTGCGTAAAGTGTCATTATTCATGACCTATTGGCAAGTATTTCGTATGCCTCTGAAACAACATGTTACAATAACTTTAGAATTGTATTCACGAAGTTTCCTTTCAGATACATGTAGACTACATAGGCCCACTTAGATAATAAAACAAATATATATAGTAAAAACTCTAAACATTTTATTTTACACTGCATGGTATGTCTGTCTGCCCATTTTAAGGCCATGCATGTTCATTCATAACTCAATAATTAATTCTAACAGATAATAATCTTGATCACTTTGAACCCAGCAAGGCACGAAACATATAGGCCTAACTTCTAAAACATAAACAGGCTTCTCGTTTGTTGTAAAAAACGAACACATCGTTTTTCAATAGGCGTAGCTCACGTGCTCATGTCCATTCAGCTCTCCAATTGAAGTATTAAATATCCAAAGGAAAATACGTTTATTTCACAGAAGCATTCGAATTATAATGCTTGATCTGTGATTATTTTTTTATTCGTTTATTAGGCCTAATCAAATACGTTTTGCAATATTTTGGTTGTTAACAAGATTCCTTAATTGATGATAAAATTGAGTGTTTCACGTGAATAAATACCCTTGGAAAAATATTTGAATTTGACATTTTCCTTTCATTTAGTTGTTACATTTTTCTAATATATGACACACATGCCTCAACAAAAAATAAGGTTTCTGGTGCATTTACATGTTAGGCCACATTTTAGGCCTACGTGTTACATCATGCCACATTTAGGTTATATCTAGTGTTACCATTGTATCTATTGCTTTCATGGCTGCAAGCAGACAGACTTATGAACAAATATGAAATATGTGTGCGCAAAATGTTCACTGTTATACAGTATTGGCCTTGACATCGCTTGGTGACATACTATCGAACATGTGTTCTTATTGTAAACATAAAACTGATTTCCCTTTCCCTCTTCAGAGTATTACGTCCATCAACAGCGACCGTGTGGCCTTATGCGCGGGCTGCGGGGGGAAAATATCTGACCGTTACTACTTGCTTGCGGTGGACAAACAGTGGCACATGCGCTGTCTCAAGTGCTGCGAGTGTAAACTCAACCTCGAGTCAGAGCTTACCTGTTTCAGTAAAGACGGCAGCATCTATTGCAAAGAAGATTACTACAGGTAACCATGACACAAGGCTACAGCTATAACAAAAACAACAACAACAACAACAACAACAACAACAACAACAACTGGCCAAGAAAGCATATAAACGAGAGCTATCCAATTAGGTCTTGGTATACAACTAGCATTCTATCTAGGCAACTTATTACAAACACTTCAAAGCCCCAGCTACTCCATTGACAATCCTGAAACCAATTTCAGATAGTCAGTGATGGTAGGCTAATCTTCCCAAAACATGGTAGCTTGTTTGCTACTATTCCATGACTCTGGTAGGCCTATTCTTGTTCTTGATGCTCTACTTAGTCTAAACGAAAACATCATATTTTGAAGTGGCAAAAGGACAAGAATGAAACAAAAAAATAGGAAGGCCTGAAGGCATGCAGCCTTTTACGCATGATAATGAATATGCCTGTATTGCTTAATAACAACTTTAGATCAACCTTCTTCATCATAATGTCCACAAGCTAAAGTTTGTTGACCCTGTTGTGAATCTAAATTCTGTACGTGTTTGTGTCATCCGCTCTCTTCTCCCAAGCAGGAGGTTTTCCGTCCAAAGGTGCACCCGTTGCCATCTCGGGATCTCGGCGTCGGAGATGGTCATGCGGGCGAGGGACTTGGTCTACCACTTGAACTGTTTCACCTGTACAAGCTGCAACAAAATGCTCAGGACCGGAGACCACTTCGGAATGCGGGACAGTCTTGTGTACTGCCGGCTCCACTTTGAGACACTCATACAAGCGGAATATCAAGCGCATTTCAATCACGCGGGGGATGTAGCCTCGGGCAAAGGACTTGGCGCGGGCAGCATGGGAAACTCGCCGGGGCTGCCCTACTACAACGGCGTCGGGACCGTGCAGAAAGGAAGGCGGAGGAAAAGGAAAAGTCCCGGGCCTAGAGCAGATCTGGCGGCTTACAACGCAGGTAGGACGAGTTTGTACCGGTTAACCGTTAATTGTTATGGTCATTTAAATCTACAAAAAGTGCCACAAAAAAAAACTCACAATTGTGAGGCCTATTTTATTTCACAGTGTGTGTGATTTCTCTATTGGAATGAAAGACAATAAAGAGCAAAATAGTGGATTGATGGACTAATTTGAAATATTTTGTTTTGATGGAAATCTACCCTTGTCGCTTATTTCGATAGGACTGGGTTACTTACTTTCAATCAAAATTAACATAGGCCTATTTGTCTGCACCGTTTTGGGAAATATAGAATGGCTATAACAACGTCGTCTTTTTTAAACAAAGTTAATCAATTTAATCAACTAAATAGTTCCTTCTTATTTTTTCTAATCAAAAATATTTTACGCAATAGCTAATGAATTGCGCAATGTTGTGCTTTGGACGATTTTATGCACAGACTAGGCCTGCCATGTTTTAAATCGGGTGGATATGTATATGTTGATTTATTGAAGAACTCACCTTTCTGAGACACTTATTCTAACAAGATTTAATGTTTGGTCAAAGATGTGAGGGAAAGTGAGAAGTTCAATGGAAGCCTCTGTTGATTTGTGGAATGGGAGCGCGCTTGGTCCACTTCCAATCTAATAGATTTGGATAACATATCCTAAGATACAAATGCAAGATGAACATGCACAGACCACAAACTAACGCATTAATCAATTAAAAGAGAACCTGCTTCTGAAGGTCTACTCAATTCTGCATGTCCTCCTGCATGTTCCATTATAGGCTACAGTGACGGTTTGCGTAATAACAACCTCTTGAAACACTCCATTGAATTCTTTTTGAAAATGTTAAACTTTTTCCACTGAACATTACGTTTGCAAGCTCATACACAGTCAATTTAGTCTTGTAAAACCTATCTCAAAACTTAGAACTTGGCTACATAGAAAAAGAGAGTAGTGAAAGATTTTTAGAAGACGACAGGAGCAGACAAGTGGAAAATAGCTCAGATGGGGACTTCAAAAAGATGAGAGAGAGAGACGATCGAATTCTCCCCAGTCCCACTTTCACTTGCTGAGTCTCGCAGTTTGTTTGGTTTTGGGGTCGGGAAATCAATGTCGGATTGCTTGTAGAACATGGGAGAACCTGTGTGGAATCCTGAATAAAACGCTCCCCTGTGTGGTTTCGAGAGAAAGTCTCCTGCAGCCAGGAATAAGTTATTCCGTCATAAATAAAAAACCGACTTGAGCGAGTAGCTCTTGGTGTATTACTTTTGTGCGAAAAAAACAGATGACTTTGACATCTTGGTATTATGATTAGGCATAAAGCAATGTTTATACTTGTTATATGCCTATTATCATTCCTATAATAATATGAGTAGGAATAGGCAAGGATAGGGCTAGATTGTATAGGCCTGTCTGTTTTTCGAGAATAAAGGATTTAATTATACAATTCCAGGTCACTATAGCTCCATATTGCGATGGCATAAGGTGATTTGAATAAGAAAGACGAATGGCAGAAAGCGTTAGTAAGCACGTGAGCTAAACATGAATGATAGGGCTAATAGTTAAAAGATTAGGCCCATTCTCTGCATTCTGCTTTGGATAACGAGAATTTTGATTTTCGTTCCATAAACATTTTGAAATGTACAGTTCTGAGTGTGCTTCAATAACTATGAGCATGAAAATGTAATGACAATATTTATACATTATTGTCAAGGAATATTTCATAAACAACTTCCTTTTTTTGACAGGGTTGTCTGGTAAATTGTTAGACAAATGGGCAGGATTAATTGCACAATTTCCCTCCAAATCTAAGATAGCCTACGTAAATAAACGATATATAAAAGAAGAAAGCCTAATTACATGAAATAAAATAAGGATTTCAATCTTAAACCAACTTATACTGTATATAGGCTTAGACCTATCTTTCTTTGCATAATATTTTGCGTTGTCCAAGATAACTTTGACCCACTTTTCCAAAGTCTCATATCTAATGAAATTCTAGCCTGCTGTGTTATACAATATTGAATAAGGCATCATGGAGAGGAACATATTGCCCTTTCTTTCTTTCTTTCTTTCTTTCTTTCTTTCTTTCTTTCTTTCTTTCTTTCTTTCTTTCTTTCTTTCTTTCTTTCTTTCTTTCTTTCTTTCTTTCTTTCTTTCTTTCTTTCTTTCTTTCTTTCTTTCTTTCTGTTTTGGAGCTTTGCTGCCACCCGAGGGAGTTTGTTGACATTCCTTTCAATATCATCTGGAATGCCAGATTTTCTATCAAACCCTGACTGCACTGCATAACACTGTGAAAATACAAGCCAATTTGATCCAATACAGTATTTTCTGCAGTGTGGTGAATTCCAGCAACCATAACTATTGGCAAAAGTTCTTGACATGCAATTGACATTTCCCATTGCTTTACCCACTTGAATATTTTGACATACGAATTTGTTGTCCCCGTTTTTGAAGGAATGATTATTAACACTTTAGAGTCATTATTCTAGTAAATACAATATAACACTGTACTTACAGAAGCAGAAGGGAAAAAGTGCATTCTAATAATGAGCAATTGCAATACTTTTTTACACTGTACTACTTACACAGTAATAAGAACACTAAAGTTAAGGTATTTGTTGCTGCCCAGTCAATCTTGTGCGTTTTGCATGACAAACCCACATTTTATTGATTTATTTAGGCATTTTCACTCAGTGTTGTGGGTATTTAGGAGTAATCACGTTGTGATTCTTTTTGTATTCAGTTTTGCAACTAACGTGCTTGCTAATTTAGAGCTTCCAGAGTACTTGCAGATTGTCAGATGTGTTGTGGGTGTTTTGCAGGCAGTTTTTTCCATGCTGTAAACTACAGAATGTAAACATATAGGTGGTGCTCTTGCTTGATTCAATTTGATACAAAAGTTATCATTATGAATTCATTGAATTTAGCATAATAGTTTATAGATATAGATAACAGTACTGTTACCAATAATAGTAATAATGATAATAATAGTAATAATAATAATAATAATAATGGTTATCTGATTAGCTAGAAAGAAAATATTCTAGTGCAATGATTGCTCTGTAAAATTACCCTTTTAATGCCTAATTTGCTCATTCCGACTTACATTTGAATCACACAAGAATAAAACATATTTCAGTTTGATGAATGTATCCATTTAGCCTCCATTAACCACAACCTTGTAAAGTCCTTCATGAGCTTTCCTGTCAACAAATAAGACATGCAGTCTGTCTGCCATAGCGTTCACAACAACAACAACAACAACAACAACAAAACAACACATTGGAATACTCTGATTACTTAATCCCAATGATGACATGATCATAACCATAAACTAAATTCCATGAAAATGGTAAACAAAGTATTGTGTCATATTGTATTATTGTCATATTGTATTGTATTGTATTGTATCAGTAACCTCACCCACAAAACCTAGTTCAGAGTTCAGACATTGCATTGTGATGATTAGTTTAAATATGGAGCCTGTCTGAGTGAGTGGAACTAATGATAACCAGTAGACTCACTTCTCTTAGGGTAATTAAGGGTGGCAGGTAGCTTAGTGGGTAAGAGCGTTTTACAAGTAACTGAAAGGTTGCTGGTTCTACCCCCGAGCAGACTAGGTGAAAAATCTGTCGATGTGCCCTTAAGCAAGGCACTTAACCCTAATTGCTCCTGTAAGTCACTCTGGATAAGAGCGTCTGCTAAATGACTAAAATGTAAATGTAAAATGTATCGTATCGTAATGTATTGTATTGGATCATGTCTTAACCAGAAACTAACCTGTGTGTGTTGTCCCTCCCCTCCAGCATTAAGTTGCAATGAGGATGGGGACCACCTGGACCGCGACTCCCACTACTCCTCCAGCGCCAAGTCCAAGCGCATGCGTACCTCCTTCAAACACCACCAGCTGAGGACCATGAAGTCCTACTTTGTCATCAACCATAATCCAGATGCCAAAGACCTGAAACAGCTGGCCCAGAAGACGGGTCTCACCAAACGGGTGCTGCAGGTGAGAAAGACGATTCCCTTTACATGTGTGTAAATAATTATCCTTTATAAAGGGAACTGCCAAAATAATGGAAACACTTGAGTAAATGAGGGATACATTTATGTCATTTAGCAGACACTCTTATCCAGAGCGAATTACAGTTAGTGCATACATTATTCTTTTCATACTGGCCCCCCGTGAGAATCGAACCCACAACCCTGGCGTTGCAAACGCCATGCTCTACCAACTGAGCTACCTCCCTACCGGCCATGCCCTCCCCTACCCTGGGCCAATTGTGCGCCGCCCCATTGGTCTCCCGGTTGCGGCCGGCTACAGCAGAGCCTGGATTCGAACCAGGCATCTCTAGCGGCACAGCTTGCACTGCGATGCAGTGCCTTAGACCACTGCGCCACTCAGGAGATACAAAGTGTATTGAAAGCAGGTGCTTCCACACGGGCGTGGTTCCTGAGCTAACTAAGTAATTAACATCCCATTAGGGTCATGTATAAAAATGCTGGACATGCCATTATTTTGGCCATTATTTTGGCTACCATGGCTATGGCCCCATAGGATGACAATGCCCCCATCCACAGGGCACGAGTGTCACTGAATGGTTTGATAAGCATGAAAACAATGTAAACCATATCACCAGATCTAAACCCAATTGAACACTTATGGGAGATTCTGGAACAGCGCCTCAGACAACGTTTTCCACTACCATCAACAAAACACCAAATGATGGAATTTTTCTATGAAGAATGGTGTCGCATCCCTCCAATAGAGTTCCAGATACTTGTAGAATCTATGCCAAGGTGCATTGAAGCTGTTCTGGGTCGTGGTGGCCCAATGCCCTATTAAAACACTTTATGTTGGTGTTTCCTTTATTTTGGCAGTTACCTGTATGTTATTGTATATAGAACCCTTCTGGGCCTATATTGACAAAGTGTCTCAGAGTAGGAGTGCTGATGTAGGATCAGTTTGTCCTTTTAGATAATAATGAATAAGATTATATGGACAGGGGGGACCTGATCCTAGACCAGCAGTCCTACTTTGAGACGAATACTTGCACTGATGCTCATTGGATAAGTGCAAACTGCATTGCATTTCACCAGTCACAAATACTGTACATCATTATTTTTTGGTCTGGATATCTGCATGCTTCGGTTTAGTGCAAAATTCCACCGAACTAAATATAAAATGTGACTTTTTAGCATTATTACAATCCAATGCAAGTCATTACAATCCAATGCAAGTCATTGGTACCTATATTAGCATTTTTTGCGCTTCATGTACAAATCATCCTTAAGTATCTAAAATTGATTGTGTAGCTCAGCAAAGTTAGAATTTGGAAACAGTGGCCAGTTAAACAAAACCAAAGCATGGATTGCTGTCACACGTTGGCCATAGACTGCTTACAGGGTAAGGAAACAAAGTTATTTTGTAATTTGGGTGAACTATCCCTTTAACTACTAGCACTCAGGATTCACAGCGAGAGAAAGTGATTAATCAGTGTAACAATAAAGGAATTAGTTTAGTGTAACAATGTTGCTTTTGAGAAACAGCTTGGATGCTAACGATGCAACTAACTGTAGGTTCTACAGTAACAATTAACTTAAAGCTGCAATATGTATATTTTGGGGAGACCAAATTCACATAAAGATTTGAGTTATAGATCTGTCATTCTCATTGAAATTGAAAGCAAGTCTACGAAGCGGTAGATCTGTTCTTTGTCGGCTATTTCTATGCTTCCCGTTCTTAAGTTTAGTTTTTAGAATTTTTAGAATTTTTGCAACCAGGAAATGGCAAAGCGATTTCTGTATAGTGCATCTTTAATGTTACACAAACTATGAAAGCTCTGGGGAAACCAGGCCCTGTACAATAGTACTCGACTGTGTGGCAAATGGAAACAGTGGTTTATGCATGTGCGGTTATTTTTTATTTTTATTTATTTATTTACCTTTATTTAACTAGGCAAGTCAGTTAAGAACAAATTCTTATTTACAATGACGGCCTACACCGGTTAATGTCAAGTGATGATGGTAACTGCAGCCCTTGTAGAAACATTTATTTGTGTGGCAATGTACTCAGTATTTTAACAATTCCCTCATACTTGTTTTACATGTAGTAGTAGTAAATATTGACAAAATTTTTGAAATTGCATTCCTTGTATCTGTGGTAATAATGAACTTAATAATGGTGCAAAATGCCAGACAAATCTATCAGTGTGGTAATAATGAACTTACTAATGGTGCAAAATGCCAGACAAATCTATCAGGGAAGTTTTTGATTAGTTTAATTGCTCAAGTATTATGATTATCCAAAACAAACCGTAAATTCCTTGAAATGGCCCATCTATTTCCATCCCATTGAACATAATCTGCACAATTACACAATAGTAAAAACATTTAGTCCTCACACAGTCAGTATAGATATCCCTTGGTATAAGTCATAGCCTCTCAAGAGAGGGCCTAAAGCTTTTGTTTTGTTGTTTTTTTAATGTGAGAAAAAAAAGTGTCACCGAGTTATCATACCAACTGTTTAGCATTCGATATGGGAATTCAAAAACACACAACGGACCTTTTGCAAAAGTATAAACAACTGCAAATTATTTAAAAAACAGACAGGCGTAAAACACAGATTTAATGAACAAACTGAGGAAAAGCAAAGCCGACGTTTGGCTTTGATGAATTCCATTTTTCATGTTTGTCATTTTGATTTGACCCCCCCCCCCCCCCCCCCTCTTTCGGTATCTCTCTGTTTCTAAACCCTTCCCTCCCACAGCCCAGGCTTCGGTTCACCACACTAACACGATCTATTGAGCATTTATTGAAAGAAAATATATATTCTTCTCTTTCTTTCTTTGAAGGTTTGGTTCCAAAATGCCCGGGCCAAGTTTCGACGGAACATCCTACGTCAGGAGAGCACAGGGCTGGACAAGCTGTCGGATGGGTCCACTCTACCAGGGGGGTCGCCTTCAGGCCCCCCCTCCGAGTTCTCCAACGCCTCAATGAGCCCTTCCAGTACCCATACCACCCTCACGGACCTGACCAGCCCCTCTATGACATCGGTTAACCCTGTACTGCCCGCTGTGCTGGGGGGCATGGACCCCCATGACTCCATGAGTTTGAGCCCTTCCCAGACCACCCTTACCAGCCTTTTCTGATGTCACCCACCCCACCCCATCCGCCCCTAAACCCATCCACCAGCTCACTCAAGATTGAGTCACTTAAATAAATTATATTCCCGCTGGACCCTGGACCTTAGGTTTCTACCTTGTCTATTTCTAGTGTCTTTGTATGAATGGCAACTAAAGCCTTACGGAGCGCTCGGCTTGATTTTGTAAAAAGCTGAAGATACTTTTCCCCTGTTCTGTTTTCATCTTTGTTTCCTTTCAATGTTGGCTGACTGACACTACCCTCACCCGTGATGTGGATTTTCAATTCTCACTCCATCCCGACCACTCTGTTTCTAGGTAGAGATTTGAAAAAATAAATAAAAAAAGAAGGGAAAAGAACGGTGAAACATTGAGGAGTGTAAAATGCAGATGCAAAGTACTGTAGCAAGGTTATCCAGAAGACTCTAGCGTGCCTTAAACATTTTGATCACACTGAGGAATCCCTGATCTGATACATGTCTAATCTAGGTGGCATATTTCTTAAAAGATTTTGTTAAACGACGGGTGCACCACTGACAACTGCATTTGCTTATAACATGGCCATCAAAGCTGATCTACTTCAAAATTCACTCTGCACACAGTAAGGGGCTGATGTCAACAAGAAAGATTATATTGATAGAAATAGCATAGACGAGAATTAGAATTACACTGATAAAGTTAATATAAAGATATCATGGTCACTATCCTTTAGACTCAGACTTTGCTTTAATATTTTGTAACAATAAACTGTCATACACAGAAATGAGATATAATATATATTGATATCTGACTCATTGCTTGATGGAATTGCATTGATTCTATTTGCAGTCACCATTTAATATCTCAGTAATACATATACATTTTAAGCAAAAATAGCTACAACATATCTAGTGCTTTTTCAGCATCATGTTTGGATTATGAATTGATAGGAGTAACATATGGATGTAGATTGTGGAATATTGTCTGGCTATTTGAATATTGTCACATTCATCACTACATTTGTAGTTTGTTTCAGCCCTTGTGTACCAGATGCACTTCTACACGTCAAAGACTGCAGTCATGCACATGCACATGGAAACGCACACACACACACACACACACACACACACACACACACACACACACACACACACACCATACTTACCTCAGTCTAAATGTCTTTCTATGCTCTTGCTTCTGATTATGGTAGATATAAAGTTTATGGCTCTGTTTGCATGGTATCACATTTTGGAATTCTAAAAGTCCCTACAATGTAGGAATCTAACACAAAATAAATGTATTTAAAACTGAGATGTATCTAACAATGGCACCCGCAATCAAAAAAAATATCAAAGAGACCACTTCTAAATACTTATTTGGAATTGTCCCCACAAAACTGTTCGTTGTGGTGACCTGTCTGAATATTGGTGTTGGTACAGAGAAACTAATCAGGGATTTGTGTAGTTGGCAAATAAACCAACTTTACCTGGGTCCTGTTCATTAGGACCACACAGTAGCAAAGTGTTTTGTAATGGAAAATGTAAATTAGTGTTTCTTATTGGACAAATTCAGATAGTACCTCCTTGTTTCAGACTGTTTTCTTCCATTTGGTGCCTACTGAACATGACCCTGGAAGCTGGTAGGACTATGAGTGGTTCTGACATGGAGAATCAAGCTGCCTTCCTTTTGACTGCGACTACCTTTACTCATGGATGAGGAGGGTGTTCTTACTTTATCTTTACCCTTGTGTGCATGGAGAACTGCTGTTTAGGATTCAACATCCCTTTAACCACAATCTTTTGTTTGTTTGTCCTCCAATTCATGTACAGTTGCCCCCTTTTGATGTACTTAATCATTCATTTATTTCAAAACATAAAATGGTGAGCAAAACTTGCCCTGTCTCTGTAGTTTTTTTGAAGTTACTACCTATAGGATATGATCATATGACAAATGTGCACACGCACGTACTGTGGTGAATGATGGACGGAGTCAGGCGCAGGAGTAAAATAACCGGATGCAGATGTATTCCTTCCAGACATACAATGCGCCTACAACGGCAATCGAAACAGGGACAGGGGAAACAATCCTCCCTGACCAAAGTCTCAGAAAATACAATAAATGTAATGACACAGGGGAAAATCAACCCTGGCAAAATAAATGAGAGAGTATCTCAACCGAGCTACTCCTCCCACATAGAACAATCACTCACAAAGACAAGGGGCCAGAGGGAACACTTATACACAGACCAATTAGGGGATGAGCAACAGGTGTGTGTGATTGACAGCGGCAGTAACTAGTAAGCCGGTGACGACGAACGCCGAAACCTGCCCGAACAAGGAGGGGAGGCAGCCTTGGCGGAAGTCGTGACAGTACTCCCCCCTTGACGTGCGGCTCCAGTAGCGGGTCGACCCCCGCCTCGGGGATGGCCAGGAGGATGCGGAGGAGGGCGCGCCGGATGGCGACGGTGGAAATCCCGCAACAGGGAGGGATCGAGGATGTCCCTCTCGGGGACCCAGCACCGTTCCTCCGGACCGTACCCCTCCCACTCCACGAGGTACTGAAGGCCCCCCCACCCGACGCCTTGAATCCAGGATGGAATGGACTGAGTACGCCGGGGCCCCCTCGATGTCCAGAGGAGGTGGAGGGACCTCCCGCACCTCAGACTCCTGGAGCGGACCAACCACCACCGGCCTGAGGAGAGACACATGGAACGAGGGGTTAATACGGTAATCAGGGGGAAGTAATAACCTGTATGTGACCTCGTTTATCCTCCTCAGGACTTTAAACGGCCCCACAAACCACAGGCTCAGCTTCCGGGAGGGCAGGCGGAGGGGCAGATTCCGTGTCGAGAGCCAGACCCGATTCCCCTGTACAAAGACCGGGGCCTCCCTGCGGTGGCGGTCAGTGTTGGCCTTCTGACGACGCACAGCACGCTGGAAGTGAACGTGGGCAGCATCCCAAGTCTCCTCCACGTGCCAAAACCAGTCATCCACCGCAGGAGCCTCGGTCTGGCTCTGGTGCCACGGTGCCAGAACCGGTTGGTAACCTAAAACACATTGGAAGGGCGTTAAGTTAGTGGAGGAGTGGCGGAGAGAGTTCTGGGCATATTCTGCCCATGGCAAGAACACCGACCACTCCCCCGGCCGGTCCTGGCAGTAGGTCCGCAGGAACCTACCCAAATCTTGATTTACCCTTTCCACCTGCCCATTACTCTCGGGGTGGAATCCAGAGGTCAGGCTGACCGAGACTCCCAGACGTTCCATGAATGCCTTCCAGACCCTAGACGTGAACTGGGGACCTCGGTCGGACACTATATCCTCTGGTACCCCGTAGTTCCGGAAGACGTGAGTAAACATGGCCTCTGCAGTTTGCAGGGCCGTAGGGAGACCGGGCAGAGGAAGGAGGCGGCAAGACTTCGAAAAGCGGTCCACAACTACCAGGATGGTGGTGTTACCAGTGGAGAGGGGAAGATCAGTATGAGAATCAATACTTAGATGAGACCATGGTCATTGTGGAACTGGTAATGGTTGCAACTTACCTGCTGGGAGGTGCCTAGGTGCCTTACTCTGGGCGCACACCAAGCAGGATGAGACATACACCCTCACGTCCTTAGCCAAGGTAGGCCACCAGTATTTATCGGTCAGGCAGCGCACTGTACGACCGATACCTGGGTGACCAGAGGAGAGTGACGTGTGTGCCCAGTAAATCAAACGATCACTGATAAGAGCAGGCACGTACCGCAGCCCAGCTGGACACTGAGGTGCAGATGGATATGTGCGTAATGCCCACTCTATATCCGCGTCCATCGCCCACACTACCGGCGCCACGATGCACGAGGCCGGGAGTATGGGGGTGTTGATCTGGGCCTCTCCTCTGTGTCATACAGCCGGGACAGTGCGTCTGCCTTCACGTTCTTCGTACCCGGAATGTATGAAATCAAACTGGGTGAAGAAGAGGGCCCACCTGGCCTGGCAAGGATTCAGACTCCTCGCTGCCCGAATGTACTCCAGGTTACGGTGGTCTGTCCAGACGAGGAAAGGGTGTTTCGCCCCTTGGAGCCAATGCCTCCACATGGTCAAAGCTCGGACAACAGCCAGCAGCTCCCGATCACCAACGCCATAGTTCTGCTCCGCCGAGCTGAGCTTCTTAGAAAAGAAGGCACAGGGAAGGAGCTTGGGTGGCGTGCCCGAGCGTTGAGACAGAACAGCGCCTATCCCTACCTCGGACGCATCCACCTCCACTACAAACGGTAGTGATGGTGTGTGACTGGGCTGAGGTGAACAGACCCCGCAGTCTACTGAAGGCCAGGCCACCCTTCAACAAGGAGGCAATGGGTGCTGCGACCTTGCCAAAGCCCCGGATAAACCTCCGATAGTAGTTGGCAAAGCCAAGGAAGCGCTGCACCTTCTTAACCGTGGTTGGAGTCGGCCAATTACGCACAGCTGAAATGCGATCTCCCTCCATCTCCACACCTAAGGTAGTAATGCAGTATCCGAGGAAGGACACTGACTGCTGGAAAAACTCACACTTTTCTGCCTTGGCATAAAGGTCATTCTCCAGCAGTCGGACCAGTACCTTGCGAACCAGGGACACATGCTCGGCGCGCGTAGCAGAATACACCAGGATGTCATCGATGTAGACCACCACACCGCGACCAAGCATGTCCCGAAACATCTCATTCACAAAGGACTGGAAGACGGATGGAGCATTCATCAAATCGTAGGGCATCACCAGGTATTCATAATGCCCTGAGGTTGTGCTGAATGCTGTTTTCCACTCATCCCCTTCCCGAATACGCACCAGGTTGTAGGCACTCCTGAGATCTAATTTGGTGAAGAAGCGGCCCCCATGCATTGACTCAATCACTGAAGGAATGAGGGGAAGAGGATAACTAAATCGTATCGTCACCTTGTTCAGTGGTCGATAATCAATGCGCGGGCGTAAACTGCCATCTTTCTTCTTCACAAAGAAGAAACTCGAGGAAGCAGGTGAAGTGGAGGGACGTATATACCCCTGGCCCAGGGACTCTG